CGGCCCCCCCTGGTGCTCGTTCTCGGGCCGGGCTTGCGGCGGGTGGCGGGGGAAGTGGAAGCCGCCGGGGGTGGGGATCGGGGAACCCGCCGACAGGAGGAAGAGGAGACAAACGAGAAAGAAAGGGCTAAGGGGCAGGGGTCTTTCAGTGTACAGACATACATACAGGCAAAACGTCCATACACACACAACATCCATACACACAAAACAAGTTTTTCACTTTTTTAGGGTTTTTTTTTTTTTCAAAGCTAAAACTTTGTATTGAACCCCAACCAGGCACCAGACCACCTACCGAGGATACCTAGAGGTCCCCCAGAGGTAAAGAGCAGATGGGACATGTACACTCCTCTGAAGATTAGATTAGACCCAGCCTTGGTGTGTAGGTCGGAGAAAGAGCACGTGGTAAGCGTTCAAGTGGTTCTGGGTTCAACCTCCAGCACCAAAAGAAATTACTAAAAAGGTTAAAAAAAAAATACACGAAACTATGATTTTTCCAGCTACTATGAAGTAGACAAACAAGAGGCTGAGAAAGAGGTGATGGTAGGCGTCACAATACCTGGTCAGAGGAAGGAAATGAAGGAACAGGCGGATCCGGGAGAGGGGGAATGTGGATGGGGGGTTGGAGCAGCTCCGGGCCTGTTTCTCTGGGATGAGAACACTGGGCTCTGATCCAGCTCATGCTCGCAACCTCTGGTACTTCCTGGCTGTAACTCATCACCCAGCCCCCACTCCCACACCCCCCTCACTTCTCCATCTTTCCCTAGCTTCCTGGGTGGCAGAGTCTCCAGAGATGGTGGAAAATGGGGTGAGAATGAGAAAAAAAAAATGGCAACAATCTGGGTTCTCTGGGTCATCTCTTCGTCCCTGTGTGGGGAGGAGGACAATGAGGCTAACTAGGCCCAGCTGCAGCTAGGATCCCAGATGTGGGGCTTAGTGTTGAAACCTGAACCTGAGGTCTCTCTTTTATTTTCCCTGAAGGCCTGAGGAAATTTTCCATCACAAACAAGTTATGCATTCCCAACTTTGGGGGCCTCCCCTCTCTCCCACCAGTTTCCTTCCATCCTCAGCACCGTCCTCCCCCATGTGTGAGTTAGGTTGGGAGGAAGAGTGTGAAATAGCCTCAGCTCAGGTGCAAACATGGGAATGCTGGCAGATATGAGAAAGAGGACATTTGTTTATGCCTACAAGAAGAGGTGTGTGTGTAAGGAGGAAGCTGTGTTTAGGTGGTGCTCACCAGCCCAGGAAATAGTCGTATACACAGCAGTGAGACCTCTATTCCTAGCACAAGTGTGAGGCTGATTTGCTTTACTGAGCATCCTTGGTTGAAAAAAAAAAAAAAACTGCCCATCTTTGTTTGATGTCTGGTGTCTAAAAGCTGTTCTAGGGCTGACAAGATGGCTCAGTAGGAAAGGGGGCTTGCTGTTAAGCCTGACAACCTGAGTTCAAACCAAGGAGACTATGTGGTGGAAGGAAGGGACAGAACTGACTCCCGAGAGTTGTCCTTTGACCCACACCCCCTGCCCCCAGATAAACTTAGTAATAATTTTTAAAACTTCCAGGTTGAGCCAGAGGCAACCGTGGTGTCTGGCTTTAATCCCAGCACTCAGAAGACAGAGGCAGGGGGATCTCTGTGAGTTTAAGGCCAGCCTGATCTACAGAGTGAGATCGGGACAGCCAGGCCTACGCAGAGAAACTCTGGCTTGAAAAACCAAATAAACAAACAAACAGATAAACACAGGAGGCCCCAGTTTCTGGTCCCAGTTTTGTTAGTTTAAAAAAAAGTTCCAGCTTTTATTTTTAAAAAATTTTTTCAATTAAGACGGGCATTGGTGGTTCACACCTTTAATCCCAGCACTCCAGAGGCAGAGGCATGTGGATCTCTGTGAGTTTGAGACCAGCCTGGTCTACAAGAGCTAGTTCCAGGACAGCCCCCAAAGCCACAGAGAACCCCTGCCTCGAAAAACAAAAAAAAAACAAAAAAACAAAAAAATTATTCATTTTTATTGTATGTGTGTGTTTGGCCTTCGTGGATGTCTGTGCACCCATACGCATATCTGGCTCCAAAGGAGATCAAAAGACACTATTAGAGATGGCTATGAGCCACCATGTGGATGCTGGTCAAAGCCAGGTCCTGGCAAGAACAGAAACTCCCTTAGCCATCTCTCCAGCTGCCCAGCTTTTTCTAAGATATTGTTTCTCTGGGAAGTTTAAAGAAGTGTATTCATGTCCCAGAAGCTTGGAGGCCCTAACCAGCTGGAGAATATTATAGTTCCATATTTTCATCTTTGCTTAATAAAATTATTGAGGGGCTAGAGGGGAGGTTCCGTTTATTGCTCTTTCAGAAGGATGTAGTTCCTGGCACCCATAACAGGCAGCCTATAACCACCCGTGACTGCAGTTCCAGGCGTTCCAGCACCCCTCTTCTGGCTCTTTTGGCTCTTACATGTGTGGATTGCACAAACATACATTCGGATATATATGTTTTTTAAAGGATCATTGAGCAAGTGCTTCCTGCAAGAAACTGTGCTGGGTTCTATGCAGGACCAGGTGCGTGTCCCACAGGTTCTGGCTGAATGATGGAAGTCTCGAATACTCAACAGGCTCAAGATGAGATAAAGTTCTGAGCCAAGTACACCTCAGGCCTCTGGAGCCATTCTGTTTTAAGGCCCCTAAGTGTCCTTACCCAAATCTGATGATCTCGTGCTAGGGATGTCTCTTCTGGTCTTTTTTTTTTCTTGGTTTTTCAAGACAGGATTTCTCTGTGGCTTTGGAGCCTGTCCTGGAACTAGCTCTTGTAGACCAGGCTGGTCTCGAACTCACAGAGATCCACCTGTCTCTGCCTCCCGAGTACTGGGATTAAAGGCGTGTGCCTCCACCGCCTGACTCTTCTGGACTTATTTTAGGCTGCTGTTACCTTCTCCCTAACCCCCTCAGTAGCTCATGGTCCCTCATATTCTTGCCCTTGAGGGCATGGTCCCCATCCCAGTCAGTTCTCAGGTTAGATTGCAATTATCCTGTGTGCTCTGTGATCTGGGGCTCTCTCTGCCCAGTTCCTCACCCGCCTTTTGTGCTTCCCGGGAAACTTACTGTGACATTGCTTTCCTTGTGATCCCTCCAAAGGAATCCTGTACTTTTCCAGCTCTGAGCCTCTGCTGACTCCATTTTTCCCCCAGTCACCCTTCACATCAGAATGTGTCATATCTCACCTAGTGTCACTCTTGACTGAAGTGTCCCTGAAAGATTAGTCAGAAGTGAACGAACACTGACTCCTCAGGGTCCCCTCAGAAGGGTTCTAATCGGGGTCCCCTTGTAAACTCAGGGGATTAAACCTTCCAGACCAAAGTCACAGCTCTATGTGGTTTGCTTCCCTCCTATAAACCTAACCTCAGAGCGTTCAACAGTGCATATGTATTTGTATATAATTTGGTTACTTATTCCGATGTGTGTATGTGTGGTTATATGCAGACCACATGTGGAAGTCAGAAGGAGACTTTCTAAGAATCGGTTCTCTTCTACCAAGTGGATCCAGGGATCAAATCCGGGTCATCAGACTTAGCAACAAACGCCTTTACCCCCTTAGCCATCTCACCTGGCTTTTTTGGTTTGGTTTTATTTTATGATACGCTTCACTTTTATTTTATGAGTGTTTTGTCTGCATGCATGTATGTGTACTCCATGCATGCCTGGTGCCCCACAGAGACCATAAAATGGCATCAGATCCCCTGAGCCTACTTGTGAGCAATCATTTGAGTTCTGGGAACTGATTGATCCTAGGTCCTCTGTAAAAGTGACAAGTGATCTTAACAACCGAGCCATCTCTCCAGTTCCTTCTTTGTTTTTTTTGTTTTTTTGTTTTTTTTGTCTGTTTTTGCTTTGCAAGTGTATCTTGCTATGTTCCCTTGTCTGACCCCAAACTCCTTGGTTCAGGACATCCTCCTGCCTCAGCTTGGCAAGCATAGGGAGAGGGCTGCAGTTTCATATTGTGCAGGGTGGCTCCCACACTTTTACTTTGTTACAGGTGCTCAGAAACATTGATGTCTATGTCCAGGAAGAGAGAGAGGTCTCCAAAGCAGCGCAGAATTCCTGTCGGTTCTGAATGGTGATAAAATGTCTCATAATTTTAGAAGGTTCTTCTTTTTACTTCTTTTTTTGTTTCTTTTTGTTTTTGTTTTTCAAGGCAGGATTTCTCTGTGGGTTTGGAAGCTGTCCTGGAACTCGCTCTTATAGTCCCATCCAACAGGGGCTACTGACTTCTTGTCTCTGCTGTATCCCTCTTCGCATAGCTTCGCTTGGGGTGCCCCTAGGTGGCCATTGCACCTTGCTGTGTGTGTATGTGAAATACATGTGATGTGTGTGTTCATCTTCATGTGTGCTGAGGCAAGCAGAGCTGGGTCAGTGGGTTTCAGTGTGGTCTTAGTCTTCTTGGAAGTTTGTGCAATGACTTCCCTTCTGACACGTGTGTTTTCTACGCATACTTCCAAGTATGCGAATGTGTTTTTCTGCGGTCCCTTGATCTTGCTGGGCCTCTCTCAGGATGGTGGCTGAGCCATGTGTTACATGTCTGGGAGCCCCCCGCTAGCCACCTCATGTCCGGACATGTGCTAACCCCCAGCGATTGCACCCACCGGCATTACTACTCCCAGGCAAAACGTGCACTGGGACATCTAGGGATTAGGCAGCCAAGGCCCCGCCTACGTTTTGTTTCCTCCTCGGAATTTCCAGCCCTTTGCAGCCAACTGCTCCCCAGCTGCGAAGGGCGGAGTTCCGCGGGCCGTCCTCTGCTTTGACTATATAACTAGCGCCGCCTCGCTGGGCCATCAGCAACGCTCCTCACCCTCTCTGCACTGCGCTCAAACTATGTGCCACTCGCGCAACCACGTCCACACCATGACTGGCCTGCCAGCCCCGGCCCCCGCTCCCTCCACCGGCTCGGAACTCCGGCGGGGCTCCGGTCCCGAGATTTTCACCTTCGACCCTCTCCCGGAGCGGGCGGTGGCGCCTGCCGCGCGTCTCCACACTTCCCGCGGGCACCGAAAACGCAGCCGAAGGGTTCTCTACCCTCGAGTGGTGAGTGTCGCCGGAGTGGGCAGCAGGGGCTCGCGCCGCTCGGGTACCTACGGGGGACACCAGACGGCGGGGACCCTGATCCGACTTAACCCTCTTTTATCTCTTCCCAGGTCCGGCGCCAGCTGCCAACCGAGGAACCCAACGTTGCCAAGAGGGTCCTCTTTCTCCTGCTCACCATCGTCTTCTGCCAGATCTTGATGGCCGAGGAAGGTGTGTCGCAGACCCTGGCTCCGGAGGACGCCACCAGCGCCGCGACACCTGAAACCCTCTCTGCGCTCATGACTGAGCCCCCGGTCCTCGAGCCCTTGAATCTGACCTCGGAGTCCTCGGACTATGCTCTGGACCTCAAAGCTTTCCTTCAGCAACACCCCGCGGCCTTCTGAATGCGCCCGGTCACACCTGGCCCGGAAAAAAACAACAAAGGCACCAGGCGTATCTGGTGCGCCAGAGCGTATCCCAAACTGGGACTTATAAGGCGATGCTAACTCACAACACTACAGCCAAGACGCCGGTGCTTGAGGCGAGCCCGAGCTCGCAGGCACCGTGGGTCCTGGCGAGGCCTACTGGGAAGGACCGAAGCCTTCTCAGCGTCCTAATTAATATTTATATATTTATGTATAACCTCCTAGGTGAAGGAGGGGGTGTATGTAATATTTATTTTAACTTATGCAGGGGTGCGGGATATGCCCCCTTGCCGTAACACTGACATCTGGATTATTTATTAATGATTTATGGGTTCGGTGAGACAGAGCGGTGGGAGGGAGGGCCGGGGTGGGGATTAGACTTGGTGGTTGGTCATGGGTTTAGGGGCAACACTCCGTCTTCCAGCCCCTCACTTCTGTAGTCTGTTGTAAGGCTTTCGGGACACCCTTGGGGGATCCGGTCTGTGGCCTTTGATGTCTTCCTGGTTGCTTCTCAGGAGAGGCTGCGGGAGTCTTGGGTCCACGGATTGTCAGAGGGCGGCTGTTGGGGGTCGCCTTAGTATGTTCTGTGAACACGAATAAACTTGATTGCCGGTTATTACTATCATCATTTGTCCAAGTGTATCTTTTCACGCGGCCAAAAAAAGGGGGGGTGAGGATGGTGATGGTGGCGGCGGGAGGATGTGACTAGTTCCCGGTCAGCACCTCTTCTTGGGTCCCGAACTCTTTTTCTTGGAGTTACAACCTACATCCGGTCACCGGATGCTGTCATACATTACTGGGTCTGCGGTTTTGCCAGTTGGCTGCTAGTGTGGCAACCTGCTTACTCACCGCGGACGGCGGGCACCCAGCGACCAGCCTGGGAGGGCGTGGTCTCGGGGGCGGGGGCGGAGCTTCCCGGCCGGGGCTAGCGGGCAAGCCTGGCAAGCCCCCGGGACTGCCGAGAGCTGGAGCGCTGCGGACCCGAGCGGGGCCTGCCGGGAAAGAGGCGGACCGAGGGGTTGGGCGGGGGCGGGGTCGCGGCTGCTGCAGCAACAGGGTGCGGCCGGGTGAGGGGCACCCTCGCAGCTTCCAGTAAGCCGGGTGTCCGAGCTGCCCCTGCTTCTCACTAGGGCTCTGCGCGGCTCCCAAGACCCCCGTAGGGTTGCTCCCCGCGTCCCGGAAGGTGAGTGGGGAGGGGAGGCGGAGCCTTGGGCGGCGGAGGAGCGGGGAGGATGCGGAACGGTCTGCAGACCCCTGGGCGCGGGAGAGCTTTGTGGGATGGAGGGGCTGGAGGGCGCGGGAGAAGACCCTGAGAATCAGCAGGCGCAGAGGAAGAAGTCCCTGGGGATCTTAGGGCTATCACGGGAGCACTTAAGGAACTGGGCGGTGGCAGGGGCAGACGGTTCTCTTGACGCGAAGGGGGAGGAGGTGCCACAAGGCCCCTTCCCCTCTGCAAAGGCTTCCTCTCCATCCCCCTCCAGCTGCAGCCTCAACCATGTTTTTCACTTGTGGCCCAAATGAGGCCATGGTGGTCTCCGGTAAGTCTCTTCAAAGCCAGTGACACCCGCTCCTCCCCTCCCCAAGCCCCTTGAAGCCTGACCTCTGCCCTGTTCTCTCCTCACTTAGTTTACCAGCCCCAACCTTCTGCCCACGGTGGCCACAAACCACCTGTGATTCCCTGCCTCTATTTTCCAAGGCCTAGAATGCTCGCCCTCAACTCCCACCAGGTTCTCCTTGTGTGTTCCACCCTTCACCCCATAGTCTTTTGGGCTCTACCACGGCCACATTATGCCCTCACCTTTCAGGGTTCTGCAGGAGCCCCCCAGTCATGGTGGCCGGAGGCCGAGTTTTTGTCCTGCCCTGCATCCAACAAATCCAGAGGTAGGTAACCCACAGAACCCCGGAGGGAGCCTATTTTCCTCTCTGCTCTTTCCCTTACTGTCTGCTCCTTTTCTCCCTAGGATCTCTCTCAACACACTGACCCTCAATGTCAAGAGTGAAAAGGTTTATACCCGCCATGGGGTCCCCATCTCAGTCACGGGCATTGCCCAGGTGAGGCTTTCAGAGCCTTCTCCCCCAAAGCCCACACCCACCTTTTCCAGGCCATTGAGTACCTCTGACCAGGGATTTCTCTCGACTCTGCCTTTCCTCTGGCCTCACCTTCTCCAGCCACCCCCAAGGGCACCTAGCTCTTCCTCTTCTCTCTACTATGGCTGCAGGTGAAAATCCAGGGCCAGAACAAGGAGATGTTGGCAGCCGCCTGCCAGATGTTCCTGGGGAAGACCGAGGCGGAGATTGCCCACATTGCCCTGGAAACACTGGAGGGCCACCAGAGGGCCATCATGGCCCATATGACTGTGGAGGTGTGACTGGGGGACAAGAACAGTTCTGGGTAGGGTGCCAGGATGAGTGGCACCTGAGGACCGGCTTGTCGGTAAGAGATGATGAATCTGACCTCTCCTCACTGTTCTCTCTAGGAGATCTATAAGGACAGACAGAAATTCTCAGAGCAAGTTTTCAAAGTGGCCTCCTCAGACCTGGTCAACATGGGTATCAGTGTGGTTAGCTACACCTTGAAGGACATTCATGATGACCAGGTAAAACTATGCAGTTGGGCAGGCTTGGTGTAATCCCAGCACTGGGGATAGGGTGGGGGGACTAAAGCAAGAAGGATCCATAGGTTATCTAGGCTACAAAGTGAGTTCCATTCCAGTTCCAGAGCAGCCTGGGCTACAAAGTGTGACTCTGTCTCAAAAACAAACAGCCTGTGATGGCAGCACACGCCTTTAATCCTGCACTTGGGAATCAGAGGCAGGTGGGTCTCTGTGAATTGGTGAAGGCCAGTCTGGTCTATAAGTCAAGTTCCAAGACAGCCAGAGCTACATAACAGAGAGACCCTGTCTGGGGAAACAAAGAACAAGTTTAGTTCACTCACCTAGCCCCGTGTGCTGGGGGCTCTGCTTCAACCCCTGCACCACAAAACAAACAAAAAGCCTGGCCCCATTTCTCAAACCTTGGTCTCACTCTCCCACAGGACTATTTGCACTCTTTGGGGAAGGCTCGCACAGCGCAAGTCCAAAAAGATGCTCGGATTGGGGAAGCAGAGGCCAAAAGAGATGCCGGGATACGGGTGAGGGCGATGGGTGTTGTTTGGTCACCACTGACTTGCTAGACACCCCAGGACACAAGGGGGTTTGGAGGGTCCAGCTGAGTGGTTGGCCAGACTGTGTCATCAGGGGTGACAATAGAGACTTCTGGCAGAGAGCAAGCAGGCCCTTACGCCTTGGCCTCCCTCACTAATCTGTCCTAGGAGGCCAAGGCCAAGCAGGAGAAGGTATCTGCGCAGTGTCTAAGTGAAATAGAGATGGCCAAGGCACAGAGAGACTATGAGCTGAAGAAGGCTACCTATGACATCGAGGTCAACACTCGCCGAGCACAGGCGGACCTGGCCTATCAGCTGCAGGTAAGTAAGTGCAGCCACACGGGGCTTGTCTAGGCTGTTCGGTGGTCCCTCTCCTTTCTCCCTTCCATCTGTAAATTAGGAGAGACTTCTATCTTTGCTCAGACTCTAGTTCCCCAATGCTAACCCATCTCCCCAATCTAAAAAAAGAGGTAACAGTCTGGAGCAGAGACTGGAGAGGTAGCTCGGTTGATAAACTTGCTGGGTGGCACACACGTGTGATCCCCATACTGGATCTTGGGGGATCACTGGTCAGCAGGGCTAGCACAATCATTGAATGCCAGGCCAGTGAGGGGCCTTGTCTCAGAAGGTAAGGTAGATGGTGCCTGAAGAGGCGTGGCAGTGTTAAATTGTCCTCCGGCCTGCACACCTGTACATGCGTGTGATCTGCACATGCATATAGACTGGAGCATTTAGCTGAAAACCTCCCCCCCCAAAAAAAGAAAGAACGAGCCAGGTGTTGGTGTTGCACTCCATTAGTCCCAGAACTTGGGAGGAAGAGGCAGGTGGATCTCTGTGAGTTCAAGGCCAACCTGGTCTACAGAGTGAGTTCTAGTACAGCCAGAGCTGCTGTCAGAGAAACCCTGTCTCAAAAATCAAAAAGGAGAGAGAGAGAGAGAGAGAGAGAGAGAGAGAGAGAGAGAGAGAGGAGGATGGAAAGAAAGAGAGGCCATAAATTGGCTAGGCTGTGCCTGTCTGTAAGGGCCTCTGGCTGCAGAGAGGAACCAGAGTGAAGAGCCACCCAGTGCTCACTGCCAGGAAGTGTTCTGGGTAAGAGTCTGCACCTATTCAGAAGAAGAGAACCTTTTTTTTCGCTTGCACAAGGTACCCCAAAACTGTGGCAATCAAAGAAAAGGGTGAGGAAGGAAACGGACGTGGGCCTTGAAATATGGACAGTGATCTCCGAGCAGCCCTTTACGTTACAGGGAGGCTTAGCTGGTCCCTGCCAGTCATGGGTTGCACATTGGCGAATCTGCCTGCTCACTGGGATTAGTGGGTGAGCCCTAGGTCAGAACTTGCAGCATTTGTGTAAAGCCTGGGCAGACACAGAATGCTGAGAAACTCTAGTTGTCTGATGGAGTCTCCAGATGAGATGAGATAAGGAAAGGGCTACCTTGTTTTAGCTCTCAGGCTGCAAACAGTTCTACCCCATGTCATCAGCACCATGTCCAGCACACCTTTAATCCCAACACTCGGGAGGCAGAGGCAGGCAGATCTCTGTGAGTTTGAGACCAGCCTGGTCTACAAGTGATAGTTCCAGGACAGCCTCCAAAGCCACAGAGAACCCTGTCTCCAAAAACAAAAACAAAAACGAAGAAAGAATATGTATTTATTTATTTTTATATTATGTGTTTATTTTTATTATTTCAAATTAGGAACAAGCTGGTTTCACATGTCAATCCCTTCTCCCTCTCCCTCTCTCTCCCCTCACTCCCATCACCCTCCCCCAACCTACTACCCCCACCCCATCCACCCTCCACTCCCCAGGCAGGGTAGGGCCCTCAAAGGGGGCTCTCCAAAATCCACCACATCATCATTTTTATATTATGTGTTTATTTTATGTGATGAGTGTTTCCCCTACGTGTTTGTATGTGTACTATGTTCATGTGCTGGTGCCTGGTATTTGTGGAGGCCAGAAGAGGGTGTCACATCCCCCGGAGCTGGAGTTACAGATGGTCATAAGATGCCAGGTAGATGCTAGGTGATGAACACCGGTCCTTTGCAAACACAGTCAGTGCTTTTAACTGCCGATCTGTCTCTCCACCACCCCACATTATTTAATTCCATTTATGTGTGTTCAGGTGAGTGACAGCCTGCAAGAGCCAGCCCCTCTCCTACCACGTGGTTCCCCCAGGATCAAAGTCATCTTGCTAATCCAAGATCACATCAAGCATGAGCCTAGCTTGGGCTATGTACTTTTTTTTTTTTTTTCAAGACAGGGTTTGTCTGTGTAGCTTTGTAGACTAGGCTGGCCTCAAACTCACAGAGATCTGCCTGCCTCTTCCTTCCAAGTGCTGGGATAAAAAAAGATATGTGCTATGTACTTTTTTTTTTTAAAGATTTTATTTATTTATTATGTATACAACATTCTGCTTCCATGTATATCTGCACACCAGAAGAGGGCACCAGATCTCATTACAGATGGTTGTGACCCTCCATGTGGTTGCTGGGAATTGAACTCAGGACCTCTGGAAGAGCAGTCAGTGCTCTTAACCTCTGAGCCATCTCTCCAGCCCCATGCTATGTACTTTTAAGGTTACCTGGAATACAGAGGGACAACATCTTATGTTAAAAAAACAAACAACAAAAACAAAAAAAAAAAAAAAAAAAAAACAGCTGTCGAAATGGCTTAGTGGTTGAGATCACTGCTGTTCTTCCAAAGGTCCTCAGTTTAATTCCCAGGACCCGAATGGGAGCTCACAACCATCTGTAACTGTAGTTCATGAGATGGAATATATATATGTGTGTGTGTGTGTGTGTGTCTTTAAGAGATTGGTGGTGGCACATGCTTTTAATTCCAGCACTAGGCTAGCTGAGTTTAAGACCAATGTGGTCTACAGATTGAGTTCCAGGATAGCTAGGGCTACGACGCAGAGAAACCATCTCTTGAAAAACCAAAATAATAACAACAATGTTGACGGTGGAAAAGAGAAATCTGAGCATACACACACAGTCTGAAAACTGGCCATAGCGGTTGCTTCTAGGAAGGGAACCAAGCGGTTTGAGGCAAGAGGTGGGAGGAAGCCGCGTTTTCCATACCGGCTTTTTCTTTTGAATTTATTTGGTATGCAAAAGATGAAAATGGAAAGAAAAAAAAAAGTATCCGCTGGCAGGGTAGAAAAGGCAGTACTGGCTACTGAGAGGTCAGGGCTGGAGTTGGTGGTTTACCCTAAGAACGGCTTGCAAAGGGAAGTGGACTGTGGAGGTAGAAGATGACCACCAGGGACACAAATACCCAAGTGAAGACCTGGGCGAGATGCTTCGCCCCACCCAGGGGAGAGCAGGTACCTGCTAAGGCCTGAACCTGCTCTGAGGAGTCGTGAGGCCGCTCCCAGGTTCTGCCTTGATTCTGTCCTTGAAATGGATCCCACTACCCAGTAGGCTGAGCAGACCAGGAAGCGACTTCATGGGCCTCTTCCACACCGTAGTGCTTGCTGGCTTTTCTCTCTGGCTCCGGGGTGGGGGAGCATCTGCTCCCAAGCCCTGTCTAGAGTGTCCCTTGCTCTCCAGGTGGCCAAGACCAAGCAGCAGATCGAGGAGCAGCGGGTGCAGGTGCAGGTGGTGGAACGCGCCCAGCAGGTGGCAGTGCAGGAGCAGGAGATCGCCCGGCGCGAGAAGGAGCTGGAGGCCCGCGTGCGCAAGCCTGCCGAGGCTGAGCGCTACAGACTGGAGCGCCTGGCGGAGGCAGAAAAGTAACGCCCCCTCCCCGCCCCCCTCCTGGCCCCGGGACACTCCTAGGCAGGCCAGGCACCCGCCCGGCAGGCAGCGAACCTACTTCCCTTTCGTCCCCAGGGCCCAGCTGATCATGCAGGCAGAGGCCGAGGCTGAGTCTGTGAGGGTGAGTTGGGGCGTGCGCCCAGCTTGGCACCGGGAAGGGCTTGGGTTTGTTGTTGTTTAAACAGCAGGCTGGGTTCAGACTCACGGAGATCCTCCCTCCTCTGCCTCCCAAATTCTGGGATTAAAGGCATGTACAACTGCCCCCCAGCTGTTTTTTGTTGTCGGTTTTTTGTTTTTGTTTTTCTTTTAACGTGGGGGGCATGATGGTGCATGTACTATCCTGCCAGTGTGAAGGTCGGATCTCTTCCTCACATGTGAGTCCTGGGAATTTTGACTTAGGTTGTTGGCCTTGCCAGCAAGCACTTTACCATCTCAGGCATCTCATTGGCCTCAGAATTTCGTTTTGGGTTTTTTTTTTTTGGGGGGGGGGTTGGTTTGGTTTTGGTTTTGATTTTTGGAGATAGGGTTTCTCTGTAGCTTTGGAGCCTGTCCTGGAACTCACTCTGTAGACCAGGCTGGCTTAGAACTCAAAGAGATCTGTGAGTTCTGCCTCTGCCTCTGCTGGGATCAAAGGCGTGAACCACCTCTGCCTTCTGTTTTGGTGTTCTTATTCTTAATGGGTGCAGTCTTAAATGCCCTGTAACCTCTACAGATGCGTGGGGAAGCCGAGGCCTTCGCCATAGGGGCCCGCGCTCGTGCTGAAGCTGAGCAAATGGCTAAGAAGGCAGAAGCCTTCCAGATGTACCAGGAGGCCGCCCAGCTGGACATGCTGCTAGAGAAACTGCCCCAGGTCTGGGGGTGGGTGGGACTCTGGGAGAGGGGTGAGGTGAAGTAGGTGACTGGGGGACCATAAATTAAGAGTGCCAACTATAAGCCAGTGACCAGCTTGAGCAGTTTATGGTCAGTAGTAGGGTGAATCTGATGGGTGATATGGTCAGAGCTCTCTCTACCTCCCAGGTGGCAGAAGAGATCAGCGGTCCCCTGACCTCAGCCAATAAGATCACACTGGTGTCCAGCGGAAGTGGAACCATGGGGGCCGCCAAAGTGACTGGGGAAGTACTGGACATCCTAAGCCGCCTGCCAGAGAGTGTGGAGAGACTCACGGGCGTCAGCATCTCCCAGGTGAGGGTCAATGCTGGGGGGGGGGACGGGACGGGGAGGGGGGACGGTGCACCTGTGTTATGGGATACAGTGGATAAGTGCTTCCAGGAGCCCAGGAAGTCACAGACAGTGCTTTGCCAGTGCCCAGGTCACCCTGCTGAGGACCCAAGTTCAATTCCCAGAACCCAGGTCAGGTTCTTGCTTGGCAAGTTCTAGGCCAGTGAGAGACCCTAAAAACAAAATTGTCAACAGTGCTTGAGGAACAACCAAAGTTATTCTTTGCCTTTCACACACAAGTGCACACACAAAAGAACCACCTCCAGGCCCAGCGCTGGTGATGCAGGCTTTAATCCCAGCACAGAGGAGGCAAAGGCAGGGTCTCTGTGAGTTTGAGGCCAGCCTGGTCTTCAGAGTGAGCTCCAGGACAGGCTCCAAAGCCACAGAGAAACCCTGTCTTGAAAAACCAATAAATAAATAAATAAATAAATAAATAAATAAATAAAGTGTGGCTGGGTGTAGTGATATAAACCTTTAATCTCAGCACACGGGGCCGAAGCAGGCTGATCTGTGAGTTTGAGGCCATCTGGGTCCACATAGTGAGACCCCATCTAGGGGGCGTGTTTTTGTTGCTTTTTTTTTTAAACATGGATAGGGTTTCTCTGTGTAGCCCTGGCTGTCCTGGAACTCACTCTGTAACCAGGCCAGCCTCAAACTCACAGAGATCCCCCTGCCTCCGCCTCCTGAGTGTGTGCCACCTAGCCTAGAAGATTGTTGGCCTTTTCTGTGCCTTCCTGAACCCATCCTTCCAAGCGGTTGCTGGAGAGGGCAGAGTTCCCATGTCATCATTTCTCTCTCTAGGTGAACCACAACAAGCCTTTGAGGACAGCATGAACCCCCGGCGGGACCTGGCCCTGTGGCTCGTTGCATGCACCTCTCCTGGCCTCCCTGAGCATGCCTCCGGACAGAGGGGCACACTGTAACTCCTTGCCAAATATTCTGTGCCTTGCCTTGGAGCAGTTTGCTCCCTTCTCACCCCTACACCAGATTCTGATGATCCCATCCCGACTATTTAATTTCCTGATTAAATTAGACTGTGTGAACCTGTTATCTAGACTTCCTCCTCACCAAGGCCAAAAGGTGGCCCTAGTTAAATAAATAAACCAAGAGATGAAGTTTGTGACATGCCATAAGCAGGAGCAGAAGAATCACAAGTTTCATCCAGAAGTGGGCATACTGGGCGTGGCTCCTGCAGTCAAGCTGACAGCTTGGGATACCAAGATGGTGTAGCAGTCATACATAAGCCCCAAACACTGTTTTTATACATTAAACCCATCATAAAGCTGATGCAACTGCACATGTGGTAACTCCAATCTGTAGTGTCAACAGAGAACACAAGAGACCAACTCAAGGAGCCTGAGGCCCTGAGAGCTCACGAACTAGAGCCAAAAGAATCACAGGTTAAGCCACGTAATGGTGGTGCACACTTCTAATCCCAGCACTTGGCAGGTTCAGGCAGGTGCATCCCTGCCTGAGTTCAAGGCCAGCCTGGTCTACAGAATGAATTCCAGGATTGCCAAGGCTAAAGAAACCCTCGGGTGTGGTGGGGGCTCCGGAGGTATCTACTATGTTGAAAATGGGAGCTAGGGGCCACCTCACACCTCAAGAATGAAGCAAAAACCTGCTGGGCAAACCACACAGTCTCAGAGGCAGGACCAACTCAGGGGTGCAGCTCAGTGGAAGAGTGCCTAGCGCACAGTGCAATGCTCAATCCCCAACACCATAAAAAGTCAAAATGAAGGTATGACCGACCAGGGGTAATAGGATACTTGCTTACCCAGAATTTCAGGATGAGGTCTTGTGACATCCTCATGAGCTTGGGTGTAACTCCACCTGGGCCCCATGCCTCTACCACTTTACCTGCCCTGAATGAGCACACCTCACACCTTTTTTCCAATTCCCATTTATTTTTGTCTCTTGGGGGCAATGTCATCTTTTCAATATGAAAAAAAGCAGCCAAGTTCAAACACAAAATAGAAGGGTAGGTAGGGTAGGACCAAACCAGGAAGAAAATGGCAGAAGCAAAAGTCGCCCTCCCTCTGGGGAAGGCCCCTAACACCCAGGTGGCAGCACTCTTTTCCAAATTTGGAGGTTTAAGTGGATGGGGCAGTTTGTGAGACTAAGGCTCTGCCCCCAACCCATGGAGAAAGGAACAACTCAGGAAAGACACCTCCAATAGCAGATTTGGCTCAGAACAGCTGGGAGGCTATAAATGGAGATAATACTGTTAATACCTCTCCTGAGGCTGAGAGATGAAGCAGGGACGGGGAGACCTGTCGATAAAAAAAAAAAAAAAAAAAAAAAAAAAAAAAAAAAAACCCAAAGCCACAGTGGATCCCCCTGTGTAAATGGCCTCGATGGAAAACCCCATCCCTCTTCTAGTGACCTTTCTCTGACCCACTTAGCTTTAGGATGGTGACCACTACACCTGGGTTTTTAGTAATGGGCAGGTTCCTGGAGAACATATTGGAAATATATTAACTGACAGTTGAGAAATGGGTACCAGAAGGAAACACAGGGCAACACTCAGAATGGCAGAAATCTAGGTTTGTCAGAGTGGAAAGAGAAAGGAAACATTCCACAAACAAATATTTATTGAGCGCCTACTATGTGCCAGGCACTGTTTACCCCCCCATGGAAAAAAATAAAAAAACAGGACAGAGGCAGCAGAAAAGAAAACTCTGAAGGAGAAAAACGGGCAGCTGAAGAAAGCTGAGGGAACTAAGTAGCCTGAGGAGAAGACGCAGGGCTCTCTCTCTCTGGCTTAGGCCTCTTCTTCTGCCTCCTCCCCGAAATCCTCTTCCTCTTCCGCGGTGGCATCCTGGTACTGCTGGTACTCGGAGACGAGGTCGTTCATGTTGCTCTCGGCTTCAGTGAACTCCATCTCGTCCATGCCCTCGCCGGTGTACCAGTGCAGGAAGGCCTTCCGGCGGAACATGGCCGTGAACTGCTCGGAGATGCGCTTGAAGAGCTCCTGGATGGCCGTGCTGTTGCCAATGAAGGTGACGGCCATCTTGAGGCCGCGTGGTGGGATGTCGCAGACGGCGGTCTTGACGTTGTTGGGGATCCACTCTACAAAGTAGCTGCTGTTCTTGTTCTGCACGTTCAGCATCTGCTCGTCCACCTCCTTCATGGACATCCGCCCACGGAAGACGGCAGCCACGGTGAGGTATCGGCCGTGGCGGGGGTCACAGGCTGCCATCATATTCTTGGCATCGAAGACCTGCTGGGTGAGTTCAGGCACAGTGAGGGCCCGATACTGCTGGCTCCCACGGCTGGTGAGAGGGGCAAAGCCAGGCATGAAGAAGTGGAGACGTGGGAAGGGGACCATGTTGACCGCCAACTTGCGGAGGTCGGCATTGAGCTGGCCTGGGAAGCGGAGGCAGGTGGTGACCCCGCTCATGGTGGCCGAGACGAGGTGGTTGAGGTCCCCATAGGTCGGCGTGGTGAGCTTGAGAGTGCGGAAGCAGATGTCGTACAGGGCCTCGTTGTCGATGCAGTAGGTCTCGTCGGTGTTCTCCACCAGCTGATGGACAGACAGGGTGGCATTGTAGGGCTCCACCACGGTGTCAGACACTTTGGGTGAGGGTACCACACTGAAGGTATTCATGATTCGGTCGGGATATTCTTCTCGGATCTTGCTGATGAGCAGGGTGCCCATACCAGAACCGGTACCTCCACCCAGCGAGTGGGTCAGCTGGAAGCCCTGCAGGCAGTCACAGCTCTCTGCCTCCTTCCGCACCACGTCCAGGACAGAGTCAACCAGCTCAGCTCCCTCCGTGTAGTGACCCTTAGCCCAGTTGTTGCCTGCCCCAGACTGACCTGGAATGTGGTGAGAAGGGAAAAAAATTACGTCATTATCATTACTAATCTTCACCTTTCACCTCTGGAATCATGCCCTTGGGTACAAAGGAATTCATTCCATGTAACTCACCGAAAACAAAGTTGTCTGGTCTGAAGATCTGGCCAAAAGGACCTGATCGAACGGAGTCCATGGTCCCGGGTTCTAGATCCACCAATATGGCCCGAGGGACATACTTGCCACCTACAGGGATTCAAGTAGAACTGTCAGAGCCCTCTGCAGCGAGGATGAAATCTGGGGTGGGAAATACCACAAACCACTAAACTGCCATTCCAGGCACTGCCACCCGGCGGCAGCAGAGCTAATCTTTGGCCCACTTATGGTGGGTGTCTAATGGAAAAGGGTGAGACCCCAGCAACCGGGTTAACAGGCACTTAACGTGGGAAAACAGGGCGTGGTGCGGCCGCCTTTAAAAGCAGCATTAGGGAGGTAAGTTCCAGGGCAGCCATGGCTGCATAACGAGACCCTGTCTCAACAGAAGGGCGCAGGGTTTAAAAAGACCAGGGATAAGTGTTAACAGAGAAAAAAGAAGCTGGATTCCCTCCCTCACCTGTGGCTTCATTGTAGTACACAGAGATTCGGTCCAGCTGCAGGTCGCTGTCTCCATGGTAGGTGCCGGTGGGGTCGATGCCGTGTTCATCGCTGATCACCTCCCAGAACTAGACAGAGCAATGAGCAATGAGCCAGGCCTCAATGGCTGAAGTCCTAAGGGATGCCTCCCCGCCCGCATTTCAACTCTAGACGTGCTCAAACGAGGCGGACGGGTTGATACTGCAATTCCGTTATCTGCCTGCCGAGCCTCCACGACCGAACCTCCAACCGGGGAAGGTCGCCACCTTTGTGGCCCTGGTCAAGTGATGGACAGTTCAAGGGGCTGAGGGTTGCAAGCACCCATATGGGCTGACTGAACTGCCATCCGCCCCCTCGGCTCAGCACCCAGCCAAGCGCTTCAGGGTGGGCACCGCCCCTCCAGGCCAGCACAAAAGAGGGATGGGGTAGGAAGGTGCGGCCACTGCAGTCGCCCACCCCTTACGCGTTCCACGTGACTGCGGTGGCGGGCCGCTCTTCCAGCAGCCCACAAAGGCGGGAGCAGCGTGGGCGGGGCCTGGCACGAGGGGCGGGGCCAGCGCGCCCCCGCCAGCAAGGGCTGCATTGTCCCTGCGCGCCAGGGGCGCTAGCCCCGCCCCCAAAGGGTCCCACCCTTCGGCTACAATCTAGCGGCCGCACTTCCTCCTCTCCACCCATCCCCCGCTACATTGTAATTGCGCGCAAAAAAAAAAGAGAAAACCATGGCCTCAGATTTTTTTTTTTTTGCTTTTGCTACCTTCTCTTCCCTAAATAGCTTTCCCCCAAACACACACATAGTCCCGAGGGACCTCTTATAGACACACAAACCTCTCACTTTCCCATCAGGTCACACCCTAAGATTTCTTAACGGCAATGAAGTAAAAGGAGCCCCCCGCACGGAATCATCACCATCCACCTAAAAGCGAGCCAGGGGATGGCGAGATCGCGAGGGTCTCCAAGCCTTTGTCGAGCGGTGATGCGGCCCGGAGACCTCTGCAGCTGCCCGCCCAACCTCTCCCCTGCCCCCGCCAGTCCTGCTCCGCTAAGGCCCTCCAGGCTGGGTGGGGGTGGCGCAAGGGGAAAACCTCGCTTCGGCTTTGTCTCGGATCGTTTCCGCATCTCTCCTCTCCCGTTCTCGAACCGTTAGAAATCCCCTCTTTTAGATAAGCACTCCAGTCCCTCCTCAGACTCTCCGTCCCCTAAACCCAGGCGTCTCTTTTAATGGCTTTCGGAAAATGTGCCAAGATAAATATTTCTCAGAACGCAAGCTACAAATATGGGTTATAATTGTTCGCGCAGAACTTTGAGGGGCCAAAGCCGGCGGAGGGAGAATGCTAACACCCGGTAACATTAATCATGATTAACCTGGATTTCTCATCCTCACGCGTATCCGGTACCAATTTAAAAATTCTTACCTTAGCACCGATCTGGTTGCCACATTGGCCGGCCTGGATGTGCACGATTTCCCTCATGGCTACGGTTTACTGTAATAAATTTGTGCTGGCTTCAAGGTAGGTACCGAGCAAGAAAAGATAATTGGTTCTTTTTTTTTTTTTTTTTTTTTTTTTTTGGTGGGGGTATCCGGTACCAATTTAAAAATTCTTACCTTAGCACCGATCTGGTTGCCACATTGGCCGGCCTGGATGTGCACGATTTCCCTCATGGCTACGGTTTACTGTAATAAATTTGTGCTGGCTTCAAGGTAGGTACCGAGCAAGAAAAGATAATTGGTTCTTTTTTTTTTTTTTTTTTTTCTTGGCTGGTCTCAGGCTGAAGGGATGGAACGTGGCTCCGGAGGCTGCAGCAGAGAGATGCGAGCACGACCGCAGGAAGGTTCTAAGAGGCAGAAGAGGCCGGCGAGCGCAGGAGGGAAGGCGCGCAGGGCGGGGCGCGCGTTCGCGCAGCCGGGGGCGGGAGATAGGCGGGAGCCCCTGGTCGCAGACAAAGCCTCTCCAGCCTGCCGCTGATTAGATCCGCCGATCACGTGCCAGCCGACCATTGGTCTGTGAGCCAGTGGCGAGCGCAGTCCTTTTTGGGAGTTGTAGTTCTCTATTGTCCACGCTGCAATATGAAGTTAGGCATGGGTGGATACTGTGGGAGGTTTAGTGGGTACCTTTCGTGTGGGTGTGATTGTATTTATTTTTAATGGAAAGTGACCTCGCACGAGATTCCTATCCTCTGTTCCTGAGAGAGGTTTTTGTGCTCTAAGAAGTTTTGGGACTTAACGGTAATTGGGATGTCTGAGGTGCCCTGAATTGGAGATGGGATGGGCGCGCCCTGCAAGCTGCCCACCGCAGTGGCTCTGGTAAAGGCGGACTGCATAGCTCAGCGGAAAGTCCGGAGAAATGTGGCACCCTGCCCTGATCTTACTATCTAGTTCTTTGTGGTCCCAAGACAGTAACTTCAGTGAGCAGCACTCCCTCGCATCCCTCCAGAAGAAAGGATGGCCCTCCGGCTCCTAAGGGAGTTGTCCCAAGGATGTTTCGAGAGAGAAACAAAATTGCAAGGATTTTTCAGACTAGAAGTGTTGCTTGGGACCGATGTTCAGAGAGAGAGAGAAAGCTGTAAACCTCGGCGGCGGGGGTGGGGTGGGGTTGGGCCTTTGGGACCACGCTGAAGACACCATGGTCGTCCTATCAATACAGACGATGAAATGGGATGCTTCTCAAGACACTTGGGTGAAGGAAGCCAAGTGGTCGTTTTCAGTTGGTTGGTTCTATTCGTTACGGGAGGCTGTGGCAGAGTCCAGGAACTGAGAAATGGGAGTCAGAGCCCAGAAGCTTTTCCCAGGGTTTCATTTGATAGAAACTGAGTATCCTGAAAGTGTAAGAGGGATACAAAATGATTCTAAGAGTCAGCAGGGGTGGTTCACACGGTTAACACCTGCTTTGTAACTCCAAGGCAGGAAGATCTCAGGAAGTACAAGGTCAATTGGGCTACTTAAGAGAGTTCCTGTACAGCCCGAGGTACAGCTTTAGACCCAGTTTCAGAATAAATAAATAATAAATAAATGAGTGGAAAATTAGTTTGTGTCCAACCTCCCACACAGTAGGATGGTTGAGGCAGAAGGATTCTTGTACGCTGAAGGCTAACCTGGTCTACAAAGTGAGAGCCTGTCTTGAAAACAAACCACACACGGGGCTGGAGAGATGACTCGGCAATTAAGAGCATTTGTCCTCGGAAAAAGAGCCAGGTTCGATTCCCATCACTATTTAAGGCTTTCCACTATGGGTAAGTCCTGTTCCAGGGAGCCCGGCACCCCCTTCCGCCCTCGGCAGGCATGTGGCACTCAGATAGTGCAGAGACAGACATCCAGACAAAATTCTAATACACATGAGTAAATACCTCCTCAAGAAAGAGAAAACAAAGGAAGGGGTGTGGTAAGCAGTATCAGGTCGTGAAGGAGAGGTGTGGACAGACAGGCAGGAGGATCAATGAGTTCACTGCTAACCTGGTCTAGGCCAGCCAGAGGTACATAGTGAGACCCTTTGTCAGAGAGAAAATGTATCAAAGACATTGCTGACATTCAGTCCATACACAGCTCAAGTTACCTTTTAAATAAAGGAACATTAAATAGCATTAATACCCCTTCATTCATTAAAAACACAATTAATTTGGGTCATGATAATAAGGAAAGAGATCAATTTTGTGTTACTTGAATTTGTCCCGTTAGCAGTAGGAACATGGGGAAGGAATCCAACTTACAGCTTCAAACAAACGTCTGCCAATTTGTTTATTGTGAACACAACGAGATAACCGATGGGAGAGAACTTAAAAACTATCCAAGCCCATTTCCTTGCTACGCTTTCATGTTTTGTGACGATAATAATTTTCTTTATCTCATTCCCATCTTTTGAAAGATGACAGATATTTTGAGGTTTTAGTAAAACAGTTTTGCCCACCCACGTCTGTTTTATTTAGGATCTTCCATTTAGGAAGGTGACCTCAAAATGTCCGTCATTTTACACACACACACACACACACACACACATATTCCTTGCTAAGCTTTCCAAATCAGAAGCAAATGGAATCCCTCTGCAACGGGGAGTTCTGGAGCGCCACGCCTACGGGCACCTTTCCAATCTGCAGTGTGCAGCCCGCAGCCACGACTGCAGCCCGCAAACCCTTCATTACACGTTGAGCCGGCCAGCGCCATTTCTGGGACGACCGAGAAGGGCGCTCTGGCCTCGGAACGACGTCTATGGTACGGCCCTTCTAGCCACTGCCGGCGACTGGCGCGAGACTCTATAGTAAGGCGTTTGGAAAATCGGCGCGGGAAGTGTGCGGCAGAGGACGTAGCGACGGAGGGTGGATGGGTGGGTGGGTCCAGGGTGCTAGCCAATCAGGGAGCCGGCGTCTCAGGCCACACCCCCTTTGCCTGTTAGCGGCGCTTGCTTCGGCTCCTTTCCCGCCGCCAGCCACGCTTTTTTTGAGCTGTGAGGGGGCGAGGCGGGGGCGGGGCTTCCGTCGCGGGATCCTAACCAATCGGCGCTCTCCGCTTCGTAAGAGACAGC